AAAAATGTGGGAAGATAAACCAGAATGTTTTAATGTTTCCTTTTTTCGCTTTTTTTTCCAAAGCCAGTCACTCAGTGTATTTACTTTTTTCAGCAATTAAGGTACTTGCTAAAAATGACACTTTTTTTTTTTTAATCTCTGTTCAAAACTTTGCATTGAGGAGATTTGATAATAAAATCTGAAATCAATGATTTCACCATTAATTATATGTCTGTCCTCTGTGCTGGCTCAGTAGTACTGGTTTGCTGTTCCCTGTGTAAGAGTCATCAAGTTTTTTTTCCTAAAACCAGATGTCTTTTGAAAACTATTCTGCACACCTCTCTGAACTTAAAGCAATCACTTGGACAAATGGAAGCTTCTCTAAAGCAGATGTGTTGATAAGAGCCATTTTTAAAACCTTGTATCTAGTCTCCTTTGTATTTTTCTGAAATTCAGTAATCCTCTTCCCCACTTAGCTTAGTGTGTGGCTGACCCAAAGCCAGCAGAGGTCAGAGAAAAGGCTTCTTCCAAAACAGCGAATGGTTACAACACTGCAGGAAAAGGGGGACTTAGTGGCATGATCATTTCTTATTTATCCCCTAGACAAATGCTGTTTGATTCCAGAGAGCACACATGAGCCATATGATACTGCAAGGAAGGTTGTGCTAATACTTTGCCTTAGACTGAGGAAAAAAAATCAGATGACATGATGTTATAAAAGCTGATGTTTGTGTCATATGAGTGTATAGATATAAGCAACTAAAACTCAGGCACTGCATTTATGCTGCCTGTCTAGGCTGTTTGACAGTCACCAGAGACTTGTAGACACATTCAGGGGATGGTATTGTGTAAAAGTAAAGATGTGAAATAAGCATCTCCACAAAGCGACTCATTCTTCCTTTCTGTCTCCATTGACTGTAAAGGCAGCCTAGGCAAGGACCTTAAACTGGATATGTAAGATCTGGGTGATTAAAACATAGCAAAATTAATCCTGCTTTGTGACCTGGAGAAGGAGGGTGCTTTCCTATTTATATACCCTTATTGTATTGCAGCAAATGTGGAACCGGCCTTTTTTGGTGCTCTTATATTATAAATGATAAGATAATAAATAGCTTTATATCTGTATTGCCCAAGACAGCTTCTAGCACACAGAGGTTTCAGTCCACAGATCTCTGAAAAATCTATTAAAATAAAGACAGGCAGTCAATGCTTCAAACAGTTTAGTGCAGTGGAAATGCGGGATGAACAAAATTCTTACTTTTAGCACCTTTAGTGTCTGACAGAATAGCAAAGCTCAGTGAGTCACCCTCAAACCATGCAAGATCATATGCTTCATTAGACAGGAAACACAGATATATCTCCACTGATATATAATACAGAGTATTAAAACGGATATATATTTGTTCTATTTATATTCTTACTGGCAATGTGCAGCAACTGAAACACAGCACCTCCAGCTCCAGGTGGCAAGCAGGTATCAGGAAAATATTCCTTATACAGGAACTATCTCCCTGAGCTAACCAACATAGCTGAGGTGGAGAAGTCAGGGTTCAATAGCCACCTTTTTCACCCTTAATAAACGTATGTCATCATGGGCTGCTTTTGAATGTGTTCACTGTGGGGTACCTCTTTCAACCATGCCAGTAAGTCAGCTAGTCTCTTGTTTACTACTACGTACATGGTGTGGCAGGGACAAAGGGCAGAGTATATATGAGAAAAACAAGAGGATATTAATGGGAAAAAGCAAGTGTGGCTGCACTTCTAAATACCTTACCATATTGAAGGTGTTAAGCGTCGTATGAGATTATGTTACCCAGAATTAGTAATGTCGCAGGCTCTGGCTACTTAGCTGGTGTAAATCAGTGGCATCCTGCTGGTTTCTATGGAGCTTTGTTAATTTGTGCTAGCTGAGGATCTGGCCCTGAAACAGCTGTAATAGAAGATCAGCATCTCTATATCAGTTTTTTCAGTCTCTACCAATCAGCTTTTCTACTGACATTTTTTTCCTTCTTATATGTTGTCACCTTCTGAACTTAAACACCAAAAAAACCATCTGCTTATCAAGACATCACAAAAATTTGCACCCTTCCAAGCAGGACTTCAAAACATGTTGTGAGCCCACACAGCCTACTGAGCAGGCAAGGAAAGACGTTCTGCAATCGCGAGGCAGGATACATGACCCAGGCCGGCACCACGGCTGTCCTGCGGCAGGAAGCAGCCGACTGAGGTGCTGAGATTGGGAAGGGGGAAGCACAGATTTTATCAGGTTAGGACCAGTCTGCTCAGAGGAGGCTAAGCAAGCAAACTCCATCCTTCATTACTATGAGTCAGGCGACCATAGTTTCTTGTGTCAATTAATGCAGGGCTCTTTAGAGTAAGATTCTGCCTGCCCCTGGAGAGAGGTATTGTAATTAACTTACCTGCAGTTTGGCTCAGATGTGCTTTAAGCACACCACTACTAGGAAAGGTGTCCAGCAAGGTCAAACCTATACACATTTAGGACCTGAGACAGGTATCTATGCAAATATAGTGCTGAGCTCAGTGGGAATCTGCTTCGTTATTGGAAGTGGTCTACCTGAGAGAGCACAGAGCTCAGTGGGAATCTGCTTTTTAGCAGAGTACTTCTCAGCCTGTACAAAGCCCTGGACTGCCAGAGCTAACCTGCCTCATGCCCTGAGGTAGGCTGTTTAAAGTGGAACGTGGGTAACTCTACACTATGCAGCAGACCACAGTGTAGACAACCCCTCAGGATTTAAGTGTTTGGAGTTGACTCTCCAGCACGACTTCAGATTCCATGAAGGTGTTCCTTGGACGCCTTCTCTCGGGGTGTTTTGTTGGCTCAGCCAGCCTTTGCTTGTGAAATCTGAGGGGATCACATCACATGGTTTATCCTGCATTTACTCACGTATAACCCAGCATGACTATACATCAATCAACTAATTTTAGCAATGTTAAAACTGAAAAGAAAAGAATGATATCTCATGAATATACTGACCTGCCTCCCCACTCCAGCTTCTCTCTATCTTCCTTCAATTTCTTAATATTTTTGGGGGCTTCCAAAGATTGTTCAGAATTCTGTTCATTGCCTTATGGCTTCCCAGGCTGTTGGTGGTGCTTCTAACCTTCACGTTTCTTGAGGAATTTCACAACATATCATGATTTTTTCCCTCAATTTCTCCTTTTCAGAATCTTCTGTCTCCATCCATCATATAATCAAGTGAGCAAAAATTATTTGCTTGCTTTGCTGACTGACATGAGAGGCAAGCATTGTACTACATAACTTGACATCTTTGCATAGATTTTTTGGCTTGTACAGCAGAATGGTGCTAAGCTTTCATAGGTGCCGAACACTGCGCTAAGAGATGACACAACAGTGAAGGAAAGGGCACTTGTAGTCAAAAGTCTCATTGTGAAAGCGACAATGTAGCTTATATGTGTCATATCATAGGAGAAAGTTCATCAACATTATATTGTTCCTCCATCTTTGGATAGCATAAGAATATTCTGAAAAAATAGTCTTTCTTGCTTATTATGTTCCCAAAGCTCAAAAACTGAAACCAACTCAAGATGTTTGATTTTTTAGCTCTTTTCCTCTATAATGAGAAACACAGTGGCGCATAGGCTGAAAAAGGATTATAATATTTTATGTATTTTGTAGTTCTTCTGACCTGTTGGGGAAAGAATTAGTAATGTATCTATATATCTGGTAAAAATATCTCAGTGACCTCATACTCACATTTGTGTAAACATCACCTCATCAGTTCCAGATACTTATACAGGAAACAAATCTGAATGCTCCTCTAGTGTTCTATACTTAGGCAGGTCAGCCGGCATATGTCTGGTCTGTAAATACCCAGTTTTACTTGGGTCCTTATTTTAAGGATTCTCTCTTAAGAGTTTGCTGCAAACATGCCCTCAGCATTTGCCAGTGTGCCTTTTCCAAAGCAACTTGACCCCGGGGGGTTCCCATTAAAAGCTTTATTAAACAAAAAACAAATACAAAGAAGAGCTGTACTGGTTGGGCTTAGTCAGGATTGAATTACTAAATATTGCCATAATAGTCCTGAACTGACAAAGTGAGTATCAAATGATTTTTCATAGCTGTCAGTCACTGTGGTATGTGACCACAGTTTGCTCTATGTTCCAATCCCAATCTTGCTAACAGGTTTCTAAAATGAATATTCTCCTTCAGACTTTTCCTGATAGTCTTTCCTAATAGACTCTAGAGTGCAGAACAGAATTCTGACTTTATAGCTTGGGGGTGTGTGTGATTGTAGTGACATAATAAATTGTATGTTGCCTGGTGCAACAGCACAATGCTTGAAATTCTTTTGAACAGATAACCCTGAATGTCACGTGTTTAATTTTCCAGTTGTGAAGTAAAATAAGGAGGACACGTAATAAAAAAGGTACATGTTACAAAAATAAGTGCAAAAAATAGCAACAATTATAACTTGAGCCTTTAGTTAATCATCTTTACATTTTTTAAAGATATATGCCCTGCAGTAGATTTCAGGCAACTCTGTATATGTGAACAGCATCAAATTAGGGAGAAAATATAAAGCTTTTAGAAATGGGAAAAACACACTGGATTGCCAAGTTCTAGCTTCTAGAAAGACAGAATATTACAAGTCCTGCAGAGAGACAGTATATAATGATTCAGCAGGTAGAAAACTGCCTATATTACAGGACTCTCTAGCAGTATTGTTAGGAGGGTTACACAAAGGTACAGATTAAAATCACTTTGGCTTTATGCAGGCTATCTTTCCTACCAAAAGAAGCAAGTCATGTATTCATAACTGTACTGCTGCCTGTGGAGGTATGAATGGTGATAACCAGCCTTCCCTAAGCGATTTGCTTATAGCTATAATCCACACAGGCAATAGCAGAAAATAAACTCGAATCATCAGTCATTCTTTATGCAGTCACTAGACCAACTTTCTTCAACAGCTGTCTGATTTTGTATGCTTTCTAATGCTACATGTATATCACTGGGCTGTTGTCTTTTTTTTTAAATGCAGATAGTGATGTTCCATGTGCAGATTCGGACAGTATTCTTTCAGCCACACTAATGGAAACAAGGAATCAAGACGGCTTAAATTATTTGGTATTAGTCAAAGAAGGCAAACAAGATCAAGGAAGCATCAATTCTGCTGAACTTAGTTTAGTCTGATGCCCTCTGTTATGAAAGAAAGAAGGGAAGAAGAGGAAAAGCTCTACCAAAGAAGACATAGCCAAGGAAAATATTCTGCACACTGTCATACTTACAAAGATGACTTAAAAAACCCAGCAACACTCTAAAACACTAAAACAACCAGAAAATGTCATAAGGTACTGAATGATGTATAGCAGAATAGGACAACAGTTACAGAGCTTTTAGTATTCTCTATGTTATGGTTTGGGTATTTCACAGGAGATAGTTTAAGGTAATAAAACATGTAATCAGACAGCAAGTGATTTTACCGCTGTGTTGATTAAATTTACGCAATCGCATATGTCTCAGACACAGGCAGTCCTTCCAAAAAGTGAGTACTGGTATGCTGTTTCAAAGAAGGGACCAACTCCTTCATGAAAAGAAAAAACAGTTGAAATCTAGCTTCATTGTGCACTAACAAGATTTTACAGATTGAAAAACTAACATAAAATCTTGTTATATTTTTATGAACTCCAAATCAGAATGCAATTGAAGAAGGGTGACTGGGTTGTCCACTGCTGGGTATCGTCTATTTCACTATTTAATTTAAACAAATGTTTGCAATCATCTTGAATGTTAAGTTGCACAGTGATTGATCTGTGAATCTAGATAGTCCTGTTTTCTTAAATTTCTTTTCCTTTCCCTTTTTTATTTTCATCATCCTCATTTTTTATCAGACTGGGTGAAGGAAGACACTTTTCCTTGATGTGTTTTGAGATCAAGTCAAAATATATAATAAAATTATATATAAATCATTACTGAATAAAAGCAGTAAGTTTTTTGGAACATTTTATCATGAACAGTAGTTTGCAAATTATGCAGAGCTATTTACTGACATCTGTCAGAAAGCTAGAAACATGCTCTAATTTTATGCAAATATTTGATAATGAGGGACACTGGAGAGTAGTAAAGGCACTATCTGATGTCAAACTATATATATTTTCAAGATGCAGCTCCACTGAATCAAGCTTCAAAAGTTTCTTAAATGGAGATCCAACACAGATGAACAAGAAATTTGGGGTTTGACCGTTCTACTCAAACAAAATAGAAGTTGAGAGCTTTTGAATTAGGATTCTTCAAAGTCCCTGTCAAAGCCCATTCAAGCAGTCTGTATAAATATTTTTGTCTTCCTCTACAAATTAGTGTAAAAAACAGATTTGCTAATAACAATTGCAGCACTTCACTATGCTCACCAGACCATGAGTGACAGATAAATAAATAAATACTGTATAATGTTTCTTTCCTCTTCAAGTGCTGCTTGATTGATTGTACAGCCATTCCTTCCATTTCAATAACTTCAACATGAGTAACGTTTACTAACCAGTAGCACGTGCTAGCCAGAAACCAGGAAGATCCCATTTCTGTAGTCACCACACCTGGATGACTTCACGTGCATACGTAATTCCACTTAAAAGGACTGCTCAGTCAGCAAGCCACAAACAAATGTTTTGAAAACCAACAGGACTTCTTATGATATCTTTTTCTTTAGCTGGAGAAGCCTTCAATCACTCTGAAATTTGGCAGGTGTTGCCTGCCAAAATTTCATCTAGGCAACACCTTTCACAGGCCCCGTGACCACATCTGTGATGTGATAACCCAAGTTGGTTCAATTTCTTGTAGGTCTGAGTTGGAAAAGAATCAAGCAAAAGCCTGTGCAACATGGGTAAGCCAGGTTAGTGGGCAAGGTGAGCATCAGTGATAGACAGCAGTCAGAAGTATTGCCCCCGAGGTCTTGAAGTAGTCACAAATACCCAAAGCAGCACAGAAAGAACAAAGGGAAAGGTAAGTCTTGTTTTGTCCACATTTTGTGGGTATTACAAGACAAGACTAGTTTGAAAGGATGATTTATCACAGCATGATGAGGAAGAAAGTGTCAAGTTTAATGCATTGCCAATAAATGAAAGCTTAGGATATTGACTAGTGATACATGCCTTTTGCACCTAATAGTATGAAAAATGTATTGGACTGGATAAAACACAAATCTCTCAATTCAAGTCTAAGGTTCCTGACCTATAACTTGCTGAATTCAGTGGAAGACACAATACCTAGCCTACCACATAAGTGCAGTGATCTGAGGAATGCTCAGTGATATGATGTCAGCTCTGAGCATGGCCCTGCCCATCACTCTATCCTCCCTCTCTCATTTCCCTGCCTTAGAGGAGTAAGTATACAAATGCAACTATTCCACTGAATCATGGTAAAGCTGAATTTGATGTGTGCAAACTTACCTCACTTGCATCCGCCCATGATGCTACTTGCAAAGAGTTTCTTAATCCCTCATGTTTCTGTATCACCCAAATCTTCATCATTTTACCTTCTCTATTTCATTAAAGTGATGCTTCCTCTCTTCATTTAAAGTCTTCATGATGATTCACATTTTACTCATTAACTCTTATTCATTATCAGGAGGACATCTCTCACCTTCAAGCAGCCAGCCCCTGCTGACAGTTTTCATAGCTACTTTTGGAGACAATAGGGAGACACACATACAAGAAGTGACAAGAATGAATGACCTTGTTTATCACATTCTCTTTTGGGCAGGCAAATGGGCATTACCTGGTCTCTGTTTGTCCCTCATAGT